GGCGCGCTGGCCGCGACCCGAGCCGGGCTGCAGTTCCCGGTGGGCCGCGTGCCAAAGGGAAAAGACAAAGGCTCCTTTCAGAGCCCCCCACTGTGTCTCTGGAAGGGCCATACATGATTTGCTTTGTGCTACCGTGACCACCGCACAGCCGGTATTGAGTAGTGCGGCCTGACCCACCGTTCGTGTATGGGCCGTCCTGGGTCGGGTTCAACAGCGTATAAGCTGGATCAACTCTACTTTATTGGTCGGAAGGAAAACTACCAGTAGGAAAGTAGCGGGGGAATTTTAAGTGAAACGAGTCAGTTTCAAAAGGCACCTACGACGCAGTCGCAGTTAATAGGTTGTTGGTTACTGCAAGACGGGAGACCTGGGCGTTCCTGAAGCCCAGCAGACCGTCCAGGTCAGACCGACTGCCCCGTGCACAGCCCATTTACCAGATTTGTGGGTGGCTCTGAAAAGAGCCTTTGGGGCTTTGTGGCTGTCGGCACAGCGACTTCCTACTTCTTCTTAGGAGCCGCTTTCTTGGCCTTGGCAGCTTTCGGCTTGGCTGCCTTGGGCTTGGCGGCTTTGGGCTTAGCGGCCTTGGGCTTCACCGCCTTAGGCTTGGCGGGGCTCTTGGCGGCCTTCTTGGGCTTGGCGGCAGCCTTTGCCTTTTTCGGGCTCTTGGCCACCTTCTTCGTGCCAGCAGCGGCCGGCTTTTTGGCCTTCTTTGGGGTCTTCTTGACGGCCTTCTTGGCAGCAGCCGCCTTCTTGGGCTTCTTAGGCGTCGTTCCCGCGGGCTTCTTGGCCTTGGCCGCGCCCGCCTTCTTGGCCTTAGGCTTGGCCTCCCCGGAGGCCGCCTTCTTGTTGAGCTTGAAGGAGCCCGAGGCGCCGGTGCCCTTGGTCTGCACCAGGGTGCCCTTGCTCACCAGGCTCTTGAGGCCCAGCTTGATGCGGCTGTTGTTCTTCTCCACATCGTAGCCCGCGGCAGCCAGCGCCTTCTTGAGCGCGGCCAAAGAAAGCCCATTGCGCTCCTTGGAGGCGGCCACGCGACGCCTTGCGCTTGGAGCCCGCGCCGGCCGCCTTCTTCGTCGCCTTCTTCTTTGCGGGAGACTTCTCCACGGGCGCCGGGGCGGCCGTCTCCGCGGGAGCAGTTTCCGACATGATGACCGGGGAGCCTGTCAAAGGAGGAGCAATCCCAACCCAAAGAGCAAATCTTGCAAAGCGGCAGCTCTCGGCCCCGGCTTATATAAGCCGGCGCCGCCCTGTGATTGGTGGAGCGTCGGATCCGCCTGGGAGGCTGCCGCTTGCCTGATTCCTAGGTTGTGTTTCTTCGTCCCTGAAATTTGATTAAATATTAAAAACAACGGCACAGAATTCGGCCCTTTGAAACTCTAAAGGAGGAAACCAGCCTCCAGGTTCACATGCTGGTTTGCTTTTTCATGGGTCATGTGCAGTTGGTGACAGATACACTTAAAAGCTCTTCCTTTCCCTAGGAATCCTTCAGGATCAAGACATCCTACTTGTTGCAACAAATTTGTAGTAAGAACCCAGTGACCATTCTTGAAAAGTGTGTGTCATTAGTTTCAGCCTTCAATTCACCCCCACCCCCAGCAGAGAGCCACCCTGTTTCTTGTTTAGACACAAACTTTGTTTCTAATGTAGCAAATAACAGGAGTACAGGGCCTGGTGGAGTAGCAGGACACTGACCTTCAGAAACCTGGAGCATCCCAGGTCCATATCTCCAGGACAGATTTTGCAGCTGGAAAAGTTTGGTTGTCAGCCATCCTTCCCCCCTGGGCCTGGACATGTAGAAGTTGCTGACTTCAGAACCCACCCATCCCTGGCTTCAAAGCCACCCTGTAAACATGGTTTCCAATCTATATTTAGAGCATGTTCTGATTGGAGGCATTTTAATTTTTTCTTTAGTTCATGCTAAGAAGGACATGAAAACTGCCTTGAAATGACTCAAAGTCAGGCCTTCATCACCCTCAAATACAGTTTCTGTGGCCCAGATGTGGGGTTGTCACAGCTGTGTCCTCAGTGCTCCGACTCCATCATTGTGGACACAGGGTGCCCTGGGTAATGTCCTGGGAAATGCCCTCTTCTGTAAGCAGCCCCGACGCATCTACATGGATATTTTCACACAGATCCTGTTTCAGAATAATGCTACTGACAGAGAGATGGTTGGACTGGCGTTCCCGAGGGACTGAAGATTGTAAAAGTTCAGAGAAGGCAGAAACAGCACGGCAACCCTGAGGGTGAAGTTTGCTCCTCGTGGAAGGCAAGGCTGGGATTTTGTCAGGACAATGGAGGACAGAGTGATTCAGCTCTCGAATGAACTCAACGGTGGCTTAGTTCTTGCCAGTGAAAAGATGTCAGGGAAGTTCCTGGGGCCCACAGGATTCTCTCCACGCCACATCTGTGCAGGAACTGTTTGATAAGGCTTTGAGGCTCAGGGTAGTCTACACATCTTTACAGAATTGTAAGAGACAAAAAGAAATGTGGCAGACCAGGCCCGGCCTGCACTGTGTTCGACTCTGCATGGCTATTTCCACAGGCCTCTTTCAGGACAGCGTACGATGAAAACTAAAGAAAAACGGGTTTTATAGCAAGGAAGTGTTTCAATACAGCACTTCTCGGTTCCAGTCAGAAAACGTCTAGGTCTAGGGAAACAACCCCCAGCTCCACGCCCGGGTGGGGACATCTGTGAGCTGAGTGCCAGTGACCTTGAGCATCAGCCGCACGGTCCGAACGTGCCCGTGTGCGGCGGTGCAGGTGGGCAGGCTGAGACCAGGGAGACATTTGCCAGAGCACACAGCTGGCAGCTCCAGTCAGGAAACCCTCGGGAGGGGTTTCGCAGCTAACTAGCGGGAGGCCGTGGGTCCCGTATTTCCAGAGCCCTTCAGAGCCAGTTGCCAGGGTGTTTCTTTGTAAGAATGAGTGCAAACTGGCGTGAAGGAAGGCCCGGATGGCTGACCCGCCTGTAAACCAATTGCCTGCCATGGCTGTCATCTAAGAGTGGTGGGTACCCCGAAGATACAACCCTTGAGGAAACTCTGACCTAAGGAGTGCCTGGGAACTCAGCATGGGAAATACTGGACAAAGAAGAGTTGGGGAAAACCTGAACACCTTTTCACAGGTCACCTGCCTAATAGCCCCGCTTTAGATTCTAACTCAAAAATTTCATGAGAACCTAGCGATTGCTGCCACAAGCACATTCCGAATCGACTCGGGTTCAAGTGTGACTGGTAGGACATAGGCACAACCTGTGGACCTTGGATGATGACAGGGTCATGGAGCTTCCTAAGCACGTTCCAACATTGCAAAAAGTCCTCGTCCTCCTCCTTAGTGTCATGGGGATACAATCAACAGGTGACTACAGCACCTGCAGGATACAGTCGCTAGTTCACATTGTTCAAACACGGCCATGTTGAAACCACACAGCTCCTTTAGTGACGATTTGGGGGCTCTGAAAAGAGCCTTTGGTGTGGGGTATTCAGTCGCCTGGCCTCAGGAAAGTTTATGCCCTCTCCCCGCGGATGCGGCGCGCCAGCTGGATGTCCTTGGGCATGATGGTGACGCGCTTGGCGTGGATGGCGCACAGGTTGGTGTCCTCGAACAGCCCCACCAGGTAGGCCTCGCACGCCTCCTGCAGCGCCATGACGGCCGAGCTCTGGAAGCGCAGGTCGGTCTTGAAGTCCTGCGCGATCTCGCGCACCAGGCGCTGGAACGGCAGCTTGCGGATCAGCAGCTCGGTGGACTTCTGGTAGCGGCGGATCTCGCGCAGCGCCACGGTGCCGGGCCGGTAGCGGTGCGGCTTCTTCACGCCGCCCGTGGCCGGGGCGCTCTTGCGGGCCGCCTTGGTGGCCAGCTGCTTGCGCGGGGCCTTGCCGCCGGTGGACTTGCGAGCCGTCTGCTTCGTGCGGGCCATGACTGTGTCGAAGTAACTTCCCAGTTGTAGTGAGAGGAGTCCCCATACCCCTATTTATACTGCCTCTCGTGTTCTGATTGGGCAGTTCGTTGTTGCTCCTCCCAGACCCACTCAGAACTGCTTCCCTGTCATCTTCTAGTGAAATATCAACTTTTCCCCTCTAGTTAGCAAATTACTAGGTTCCCCGAGGCCCACTTTTTCGTTGAAAACTCGATAAACTTGAAATTCTGCTTTTAGAATCTGACAATGCCTTGCACTACCTACGGTGTCATGATCGACAGAAATACTGAATAACGTGGAAAATGTCAAGGAAGCCGAGACAGGTGTACATGAACGCGGCTTGCTTACAGTGGCTGCCCCAAGACTTCGCAAAGTGCAACTTGCCTGCGGAGAGCCTGGAGTTCCTCGGGTCAGCCCTTCCCAGTTAATGATCCTTCGGGGACACTTCAAGACTTTGGGACAGGTTCCACAATTGCGCAAGCCCCTGCCTTCAGGGGCAAACGATGGGTGCGCGGTGGCGAGCTGGGTCCACGGTGACGTGCAGTAACCGGGAACCTGGACTTGGTCTTGCTTCCCGGTACCTAATATTCTGGTGGAAACTGGAAACTAGCTCTACCTCAACGCACACGTGCTTGTAACGCCCACAAGATCCATTCTAATGTTTTCTGCCATGAAGTCAGAAAAATTGGACAGGTAGTACTTCCAAAACTGTTGCGCTAGGTGAAATCGCCCACGTGAAAAGCTATGTACTACAGGACTTAGTAGGGTATGTCTCCAGCGCTTCCTCAGAATTCGTGAGTGGCCCTGAAAAGGGCCTTTTGGCCGTGGCGGGGGCCCCGCCCAACGAAGCCGTAGAGGGTGCGGCCCTGGCGCTTGAGCGCGTACACCACGTCCATGGCCGTGACCGTCTTGCGCTTGGCGTGCTCGGTGTAGGTGACGGCGTCCCGGATCACGTTCTCCAGGAACACCTTGAGCACCCCGCGGGTCTCCTCGTAGATGAGGCCGGAGATGCGCTTGACGCCGCCGCGCCGGGCCAGGCGGCGGATGGCCGGCTTGGTGATGCCCTGGATGTTGTCGCGCAGCACCTTGCGGTGGCGCTTGGCGCCGCCCTTGCCCAGGCCCTTCCGGTGTAGGTGACGGCGTCCCGGATCACGTTCTCCAGGAACACCTTGAGCACCCCGCGGGTCTCCTCGTAGATGAGGCCGGAGATGCGCTTGACGCCGCCGCGCCGGGCCAGGCGGCGGATGGCCGGCTTGGTGATGCCCTGGATGTTGTCGCGCAGCACCTTGCGGTGGCGCTTGGCGCCGCCCTTGCCCAGGCCCTTCCCGCCCTTGCCGCGACCGGACATGACTAACGCCGTGACAGAGAAGACTAACTTGTGCGCCAGACTCCAGCTTATATAGTGTCATGTCGGACCTGATTGGGAACCCCGGCACAGTGAGCCGGCGCCCAGCCCGGGTTTTCGGGCAATGGGAAAGGCGGGGCTGGCACTGCGCGCCCCAGACGCCAGGCGGCGATCTCCTCAGCTGTTCCACCGGTTTTGAGCCGCCCGCAGCGCGGATCCTGGCCCACTCCGGGTGAGCGGCCTTCGCGGTCCTTCCCTTACTCTTTCCTCTTCGATCGCCTTCCTTCCTGTTCCTTCTCCCCGCACAGCCCTCGGCTCATTTTTGGCGGCGCCCGGGGCCGCAGAGAAGGGACCGTAACGTTGCTCCATCCTGCCTGGGATCCCTTCTGGCCCTGGGAGGGGCCGGGACCGCGATGACCACTGCAGGGAGGCGTCTTCCCATGAGAGGGTCGAGGACTCCCAGGGGTTGGTTTTATCTGACCCTTGTCTTCTAGGCGTCCAGCCCCGTCTTTGCCTTGAAAGCGGCAGCTTTCTCTGGCGCACTCACCTTTCCCTCCTGAGCTTCGGCTACATTTGCTTTTTAAGTTGCAGATTGTTTATTGTTTGCTCCTTGAACACGTGCCTAATTTTATTCTGGGAACTAGTCTGTCCGAGTGCATCATGAACCCCGAATTACTGCGCATGTGAGCCCGGAAGGCCTCGGTGCCCTTAGTCCATTTCAGTCAGGTGTCCCGGCTACCTCTCTGCTGTAAATAATGGAGTGTTTGACCTTTAGGTAATTAATCTGCATCTTCTGGAAGCCTCAGAAAGGGAGCGACAGGCCTCAGTCTGGTAGACCTGGGAACTGAAGGGGTCAATTTATGGGAAGATAAGTTGTCTGGGAGGTCCTCTATTCTGCCATGTCAGAAGAAGGCACCTGGGGACTAGAGGGGTGGGTGTGGTGATTAAGGTGCTAAACTCCCACATGGCCAACCACAGTTCCAGTCCTGGACCTGGGGGCTTGCTTTCTCACTTTCTCTCTCTGGCCAAATTAAAAGTAAATTAATGAATAAAAGTTAAAAAAATTTTAAAAAGAAATTGAGGGCACTGGTCACTCAGGAAAATTATCTTAATAAATTAGATTTTGCCTTTTTTAAAATTATTTTTTATTTAATTTTATTTATTCATTCATTTATTTTAATTTGGCCGGCGAGAGAGAAGTGAGAAAGCTAGCCACCAGGTCCAGGACTCAACCTGTTTGCGGGCATGGGGGAGTGTCCAGCACCTTAACCACCATGCCACTTGCTGGTCTCAGGTTTTGCTTTCTCAAAAGGGGAATTGTCCTATTTTCAGCTCCTTTCCTGTTCTTTTTTTTTTTTAAGAAAATTTTGCTATAAAGCATGTGCACTTACCAGAGAGACAGAGACAGAAAGCAAGAAATCATCCCCAATGGGGGATGTCCACATCACAAGCCTTTCTCCATTCTCCCCTCAGGATTTTGGGCACACAAGCACACATGCCCAGCATGAGTTTTACATCATCGGGCCTGGAGCTTGAACCATCTTCAGTGGAAGTCCAGCAATGTAACCATTATGCCCGTTGCTGGTCCGTCCTGTTCCTACTATTACCAAACAATCCTTATACCCAAGTTTCTTTTTTGGGTAAAATATTCTGGTCCTCTATGTGTACATGACATACAGAAAGCTCTCTGGTTGGTGGCTTGGCAGTGCATTGCTCTGAGACTATTTACTTTATGGGGGCTCAGGACACTACACCCCAAAGTATAGCACCTTGGGGAGCTAAGTACTCTGAGCCCAGAACCACAGTATTTCTGACCTCCCGCCCTGCTCCAGCTCACCCCTTTTTCTCCCCTAAACACGGCACAGAAAACAGAGTTTCTCTTTCCCAAGTCAAGTCCTAGAAACAAGGATCCCTTTTCCTAAGGCAAGCTTTAAAGCCTAGAATCGTCCCTCTCCCTTAGGGTCCTGCCCCTTCCCAGGAAGAGGAATGCTGCCCACAGGCAACGCTGTCCCCTTCCGTGCCATCGCGTTTCCACACAGCTGTGCTGCACATAAAAACGGCCCTGTCCTCTGGGTCTTTGGGGCTTCATTCCCAGAAGTTTCCGTATCGTGTACAACTTGCACTGAATAAAGTGGCTGTGCTTTTGTCTCGCTGACCTCTGGTGATGGCAGGGTAGGGAAGGTGCCACCTTTGCCCCTACGACTGTGACATCTGTTTTCAAAGTGTGACTACTGTGTGAACTCTGGTAAATCAGACACCCTCGTTCATTCTCTTCTCCCCGCTGATTTCTCGGCATCAAGAAGGAGGCACACCCCTTTGCAGCATTCTCAGCAGGGCCAGGCTCAGCATACTGTGGGCACTCCTAGGGCTTTGGCTCACCAGGCACTTGGGATTGAAAGCAGCTGGCCCAGGGAACCTCCCAACTAGGGCTTTCTGATCCCCCTGGAGTCCTCCTCTTGGACTCAGGACACTTCCTTCCAGACAAATGCAATAATAGTCTTAAGTCCCCTTCCCAGGAACCTCATCAGATAAACAGGCGAGATGAACCACTAGAGAAGGGAGATAAAACTTGTTCCACGCTGAGGCAGACTGTCTGCTGGGGAGCTCCACAGCACAGCCGGCCTGGCCCACTGCCACCTGCCCCACGGCCCCCGAGCTGCACACTGATGGATCTGTATACTGCTTTCTCCTGTTGCTGTTTCCCGTCTGTCTCAGTGAGTCTTGGGACGAACGGAAAAACGCTCCCCACTCTGCGGTCACTGCTGACCCACTGGCGTCCCATCGGCAATTCCTTAGCATTTGTAATACGGAGCGTTAGGCTCAGTGTTTCTACATTTCATTTTGATATGCCACCAGTTTATTTCAACATCTGGTTTTGTTTCATTCCAAGGCTTCGGAGTTGGGTGGTAGTTGTTAAATCCCTCTGCGTTCACTCACAGGCAGCTTCCTTAAGTGCCTTTCATGATGCTCATTCTCCTGTCCCAAAACACACACAGAAACACTCATCTAAAGACTCATCTAAACAGCAGCAGCTCCCCAAGGACTTTCCCCACCAACAGCTTTTCCTCTCACCTTTCTCTCCTCACTCTGCCAGGTCAGAGCCCCTAATATGAGGCAGGGACCTGGGGCTGCCCGCTTCCTCGTCCTTGTTCCCAGAGCCATTCCAGCCTGCTCCCATCTGGAAGGTCTCCTTAAGCTCCTAGAGCCACCATGGAGACCATCTGCATGTGGGTGCCAACGCCTTCTCCCTGACCATTTCCTCCTACCCCACCCCTTCCCAAGGCCCACTGTGCCTACCCTGGGCTCAGGCTGGAAGTATCTGCTGAGCCTGCTCAGCACAGAAAGCTTGTCACACAGGCCACGGCTTCACGGAGTGCCCTACTCTTCACTTCTGCACTTTCTCTCCCAGAATTATTTATTTCTGCCACGTGTAGGACAGGAAACTGGCGCGTCACTGCTACGGTGAAAATGCTGTTCTCGGGTGGCAAGTGCCTCACCACTAGCAGTCCTCTGCTCAGCCGCAGACCCAGCCAGATATGTTGCTTTGCAAGTTCTTGGGAACAGTTTGTCAGACTCCATACATAACCACAAGGTGCACCTTAAGGGCTGTGGATATACCATCTGTAAACGCCCTGCCCGCTGAGGTCCCTTCTCGCTAAGATACTTTCTCACCTTAAAGTTTTACATACAGATTACAAAGGGGACCAGTGGCTCAGGAATCACAGCTCCAAGAAAATGCTGTCACCTTAAATGGCTAATATGAAAGGCCCACCGCCTACTTAAAACTTGGTGGATACTTTCTAACATTAACTTCTGGGTTTTCAAGCCACAGTAAACAGCCTTGTGGGAATACAACACCTTAACCTCACCTCACAACCTGCTAGCTCAAATTACTCTTACAAAAGAACTCATAGCTTGGGGAAGCCTTTTTGTGTCATTTTTTTCTCCCAAAGTTACCTTGTCATTTTTAAAACCTTTTTGGTTATAGGTAGCATGCTCTCTCCCGAGACACATAAAGAAGTCACTGCCCTGGGAGATAAGATACCCATGCCACACTCCCTCGTCTCAGGGTTCTGGGCACACAAGCACACTGGCCAAGTGTCAATTTGAAACCCCCAGGTCTGAGATTCAAACTGGTCCACTACTTTAAATCCAGCGACATAACCACTACACACACGGTCTTGGTCCAACTACCACAGGAATTACAAACTTCGAATGCATCTGTGTTAACAGCTACTCTGTGTGACAACAGAAGTGGCTCTGAAAAGAGCCTTTGGGATGGGATACACGTAGTCTCAGGAAAGCTTTAAGCCCGCTCCCCACGGATGCGGCGCGCCAGCTGGATGTCCTTGGGCATGATGGTGACGCGCTTGGCGTGGATGGCGCACAGGTTGGTGTCCTCGAACAGCCCCACCAGGTAGGCCTCGCACGCCTCCTGCAGCGCCATAACGGCCGAGCTCTGGAAGCGCAGGTCGGTCTTGAAGTCCTGCGCGATCTCGCGCACCAGGCGCTGGAACGGCAGCTTGCGGATCAGCAGCTCGGTGGACTTCTGGTAGCGGCGGATCTCGCGCAGCGCCACGGTGCCGGGCCGGTAGCGGTGCGGCTTCTTCACGCCGCCCGTGGCCGGGGCGCTCTTGCGGGCCGCCTTGGTGGCCAGCTGTTTGCGCGGGGCCTTGCCGCCGGTGGACTTGCGCGCCGTCTGCTTTGTGCGGGCCATAACAAAAACGTGCAGAAACTGCCTTGAAACGGACGTCTGAACCGGAAAGAAAGGCCACCCTTCTTTTATAGCGTCAGGCAACGACCTATTGGGCCCAGAAACATTCAAAATTTCCCGCGCCCTGCCCGGATTGGCTCGGCTCGATGCTGAATGCCCGGATTAAGAACTGCACTCAGGCTGGTGGACGAATACAGCGCCCTGCCCTTCACCGCATCCGCCCTGACGTAATTACTTTACCCTTTTGCACCTCCATCGACTGTGGGGAAAATTCTGCACTGACAGTTTATGGAGTAATGCCAAACAATGCAACCTCCGCACAGGGCCGCCTTGGTGGCCAGCTGCTTGCGCGGGGCCTTGCCGCCGGTGGACTTGCGAGCTGTCTGCTTGGTGCGAGCCATGACACCGAACAAACCCTGTACTTCAAAAACAAGCAACTGAGAAGCGGGCGAAGAGACTGGTATTTATACAGACGATTTGTTCCTGATTGGTCACAGCAGTTTTTAAGTTTAACCTGATTGGTCTAAATCCAATCTTTCCTTGGTTCCTACCATCGCTTCCGAAGAGAGGCCTCAC